GTTTCTCTGTGGCTGCACCACAGAGATGAACAGAGAAATGGGGCCTCATTTGGGAAGCTCAGAAACACTTAAGTCTGCTTTATTATTAAGCCTTGCCGCTACACAGTTTAGGTCTGTTACTGAACAGGGTTTGCAAGGCACCAAAAATTTGTGAGCTAAAAGTTGTGTGTCCACTTGGGGAACCTCTATGCAAAGTTTTGCATTTTTGTTTTGCAAATACCACTAGCCATAGAAAGACATATCAGACACAGAATGATTGTCCTAATGTTGCTAATTGGGCATTCCATTGATACGCCTATAATTAAGGGAAATCAAGTTGGAAAAACACTATAAGCTCTCTCAGTAAAGGACACTAATTTTCTCTTAAAATGGGGAATTTAAAAAAATTTAAAAAAGTTTTAGGGAACTTGGGTTTCCTGGGTAAAAGATACCTCAGTTAGAAACAACTTACCTGATTATGGTGCATTTAAGGATAGGGATATAGGCTCCCATTTATTTTGTGGGATCCAGGGTACAGAAAGAGAGAGAGATTTAACTGCAGGTTGCTTTGTATTTAGTGAGAAGGTAGATCATCTTTTGCGTGGCCTCTGTGGGCATATTAAGAGTTTAGTGCTTAGTAGCTGTCTAGAGTTTTCTGGGTGACCAGAATGTTAGGCCTCTGAAACGCCTTGTCTGTAAATACTGTATATAATGTAACTTTTGTGCATTGTATGTTTTGTGTCTTGTGTAGTTTATTGTAATAAATATTTGTTTTAACCAAGTGTGCCTGGCGTATTACTCCTCTCAACAAAGCTGTGCCAGAGAATAAAGAATAAATGTGCCTCTAGTTATACCAGCCCCTTGGATATATGGTTAGAAATCACATACAAGTGGAGGGTTTATGAATAATTATTTCACTGATTGACTAAACCGCTTCGTCAATTCCTGATATTCACCACTTTCGTAATCCCCCCATTTGTAACAGTATCTATACTGTTTTAATAGCAGATACAAATGCAACCAAATTGAGCATTTTGCTGACCTGAATGCATGTTAAATGAGAGTTTACAAATTCTTCAAAAATGTCCTTCCTCTGCTACTTTGGGAGAATTGCACGTTTTGGCTTACAGAGTTAAATGTTTGACCCAATCTGAAGAGTAGCACCAGACTTTCCAAAGAACTTTGGACACACCAACAGATTCATATCTGTTATAAGCCTATATTTTCAAAAATAAAGGGTCAATTTTGGTAAAATACAACTTCTCATTAAACAAATAAAGGATTTAGCAAACAAAGTATGTATAGACATACTCATATTACATCTTACAAAACTATGTGACCAATGGGATGTGACCAGTCACATCATTGTAGAGTTTATGTGATTTTTAATAAATACATCATTATAATCTTATAAGAACATTTTAATTGCATTTTTAATGAAAATTCAGGAGTAATGATACCAACCCTCCTTTACTCCTGCAGCTCTTGAAATCCTCCTTGATGTTACTTCTCAAAATGCTATAAAAACCCCTCCTCTCATCGTTCTTCTTTCACATCCAGACTCCACCCCATTCCACCCTGGCAGCCAGCCCTTGGTTAACACTGTGCTCTGCTGGGGATCCTGACTTTCTCCTCCCACAGTCATGTGGCTGGCCCTCAACCAAAGCGGATTAATCCAAAGCTCCTTAAACCTGACAATAACCATTCATAATGCTTTTTGTGGCTGGGTGGTGGTATTCCTCAAGAATTGTTCTCCAATTACTAACACTTTTCATGAACACTAGGAGAGCTACAAAGGAATTAAAATGCATTTACAGTACCCTAGCAAGCCAAGTACTTAGTGTTCAAAACGGGAGCTGTGTAAATGTTTACATTTCGGATGTGGAGTCTTCTTTAGGTGTGAAAATTAGCAGATTAATAATGTGTATATGGTGAATAATATTTCTATAGTTATGGCTCACATCTGATTGTAGTTATTGTTTGTGTTATTAATTTAACAATCATGACCAAGAGCTAAACTGAACACACAAGCATAATGAAACAACTGCACAACAGATTCCCATGCATGAATAAAAAACAGGTAATCCCACCTTTAATGAATACTTTATATATTTAACTCTTTGTTGAGTCTCAGGTTTAAGGCCGATACCTGAGGGAGAGGAATGAAAAACATAAATCATCCAAAACCATCAAAATGCCTTATTGCACTAAGACAGGCTGTAATTAACAAAATGATCATATCAGATCATTATTTTATTCATAATTAAAGCAGAACGAGCCTTCTACAAGTAGAAGGTGTTCTTTTTATAGCAGTCCAGGTGCAGGATGATACATGGGATACGGTTATCTTAGTGGGCCATTTATTTTAAAAACAAGAGCATTAAATACATGTAAAAGAACAACAAAAGAATAGAACAAAAACATCAAGCAGTCTTAATGAAACATAGAGTATTACAATTTATTATTTCCCCTTGGTAATAATTGCTTTTCTGTACACTCCACTCAGAGCACTTTACAGGTAATGGGGACTCCTCTCCACCACCACCAATGTGCAGCCCCACCTGGATGATGCGACAGCAGCCATAGTGCGAACAGTATGCTCATCCACACACCAGCTATCAGTGGAGGAGAACAGAGCGATGAAGCCAATTCATAGATGGGGATTACTTGGAGGCCATGATTAGTAAAGGCCAATGGGAAATCTGGCCAGGCAGCCAGGGTTACACCTCTACTCTTTTCAAAGAAATGACCACAGAGAGTTTGGACCTTGGTTTTACGTCTCATCTGAAGGATGGAGCTTTTTTACAATATAGTGTCCCTGTCACCATACTGGGGCATTAGGACCCACATAGACCACAGGGTGAATGCCCCCTGGCCCTACTAGGCCCTACCTCTTCTATCAGCAACCTTAGTTTTTCCCAGGAAGTCTCCCATCCAGGTACTGACCAGGCTCACTCCTGCTTAGCTTCATTGGTCTGCCAGTTGTGAGTTGCTTTATAAGATAATCACACACAATACTGTCAATACAGTCAGCAAACAGCAAACTGACATTTACTGAGTTAGAAGGCATGCTGCTTTTATTCTTAACTGAACACATTTACATTAGCTTGGAATATTTTAACTGGTTTCTTTTTCTTAAATTATGTTGATCTAAAATTACTTTATACTGTAGTACTGAAGATACTGTAAATGAGTTCAGTATAAAACTCCAAATGGAATGTACAAATGGAAATTAAATGGGACTGATGATATTCTATATTCTTAAGGTTGTTCATAAAAAAACTACATGAACACAATGTGAAAGATCTGTTGGTTGGGCATCATTACTTTAGTGAAGTAACTTTATAGTGGAGTGAAATTTATAAACTAATCTCAAATCTGTATGTCTTTAATTCTTTAAAAAAACTTAAATATATTTCAGATGTAATAAAATAAATCAAACTGAGCATACATGACACACCAAGATAACATGCTGTCTGTACAAATTTACCTGTTCTTATTCCAGAATTGCTTAACTGCGTGTGGGAGTCTAACTTTTACATGGTGCCAACATCCTTAAATACAAGGAAATAAAGACAAAGGCCTGAACGAACTGTTCCAATGCTCGTTTGTGTGACACAGATATGAAGACGTTTTATTTGCAAAGGTGGTTTGAAAAAAAGGTTGGCTCCCATTCCCTTAGCTAGGTGAGCCTTGCCAAATACTGTATTATATTCCTCGTTCTCCCACATTTACTAGGATTTTACAGAACTACTAAAAGCTTTGCTTTTACAAATTATTTCTCTAAATATGGTATTCAGTGGTGTTGTGTCACTCCATGAAAATATGCCATGGGGAAATTGAAAAAAAAATGTCCTGTTACTACATTTAAAACACATTGAAATGGAAAAATATATATAATTTAAACTGAACCAACCACTGAATTAAGAGCTCCGGTTTGCTCTGAATTGATACAACACCGATTTTATGGTAAACTAGACAAACCAAATCAAACTTCAAAACATACTTGTTTAAAGATGCTAGTTGATGCTACAAGCTCTGACTTCAGGAGACAACCAAGAATGCAAAGCTTTAAACTTCAGTTTAAATCAAGGTGATAGTTTTGTTTGTCATTTCCAACTCAGTATGATTTGGAATTAATGATAGGTTTGCACAGTGTTTAAAAACGTTAGAGAACATTGTCAGCAATAAAGAAACACCAAGCATTTACGGTACTTTAAGACTAATGTATCTTGAGAACAGCATGTACATTACATTACAGGACATAGCATATAGAAAAGCTATATACACTCCAGTACTTGCTTGTGATTCACAAACATGGCATGTTTATTAACAGTACTCATTCTTACAAAGAAACAGTTGATAATTATGACAAAAAATACCATGGATGTCCTGCTCTGAATGACTGATTTCAGGAAATTTGCAGAGAACAGCTGCCCTGATTCTCACAGTAAGACACTGAATTTTCTCTCTTTCTGCTTGTTTTTCAGAGAATCCTCAGGGTTTGTTCTTGATTCTTGTGAAGGTACATATGTATATGTCACTGTTATTTTTTCTGCTTGTGTTTTTCATAAAATTGATGCAAGTTGTCTCTTCTAGCGATTCTTCCTGACAAAGCAATGTTGAATATTCCAGCACTGCACAGCCAACACACATCTAAACTCTTCAAAATACACTCCAACTGTAACTAAAACATATGTAATATTTAAAATGATCCTTACTGCTTTAACAAACCTTGACATTCAAATATTATTATATCAAGTCTGATACAAAAGAAATAGTGCTTTAACTACAAGGTTATCTGACAACATCACTCAAACACTTTATATTTCTGTCAAATACAATCTACCATATGGTTTCACATATTTCACAGAGGTTCAAAGATAAACTGGTCACTCCAGGCCATTCGTTGACCTAGATAGCAGCATCACCTTAAAATGTAGAGGATCACTTCTCTATGCTGTGAAAAATATATAATTGCATACATACTGTGAAAAATATACAATAATTATTGGCATATGTATGGACACTGTTTATCCAAAATATCCAGAAAAGTGAAACCATTATTGTGAGCTTTATAGAAGTTATGTTACTGAACCCTGATTCATCCTAGCAGGCAATACTGAACATTCAAGGGCAGTTATATAAGTGAGTATGAGTAGGTATTTCTGTGAGTGTATGCATGCATTGTGACTGAGTTTCAGGACTGAATTACATGTAAACATAGGAGGAACTATTCTACCATGTGGCTGGTACTGTATGTACTGTCTGTACCATCCTTCAGCAGGCTGAACTGTTTGGCAAAGACAAAAGAGACAGAAAATCACTCTTGAAACTTGTCACAATTCACGTACAGTATACTGTATGGACATATCCAATTTATATCATACTATAGCTTTTTTATATCAAAGCTGTGCATGCCAATCTTTTAATGTCCTGATACATATCACAGCAAGTGCACTTTTGAGACTATGGCCCACTTCACAAATAGATTATATCTGATTAATTCTCAACAGCAGAGCTGTCAGTGTTAAACAGTCCATTTAAACACTAGGAGTACACATACAGTTAACAGCTGAGTAAAATGTGTGAATCATCCAAAAAAGGTAAATCTCTCTGACCTACATTTTCTTTTAATACTGATTTTCTTAAAATTACATGTAGTTACTGAATCACATTAACACTACAGTATGTATACCTCCTGGACATACTACATAAAAATATGTTTAAAATATATTTATCACTAAGTTCCTCTCTTCCTTCCTCACACTGAACTAAGGAACATGATTTTGAATGTATACATCATGGACAACCAATTCAGTTTTTTTCTATTCTTCTAAGTAGCTTAGACTTTGGCTACTATTTCATACAATACATTTATGTGTCTATAAATATAATTAATCTCCTTTTATCAATATTGAATCTTCTCTATTTTAGTCTGATGTCAAGACTTTCCCTATGTGTGAAAATATGTTGCGTAAATTTGCACTGGAAAAATACTTTGCTCAAATAACTCTTATTTTGTAACACACTCATGAAGTTCTCTTAAAGAAGTCATTGCAGCATGATGAGGAGTGATTTTTGAGAACATAGTTGTAAATATGTAAACCATGTTATTCTGGTGAAGAAGACTGCCCTCCGATACATCTCTACATCTCTGTTTAGAACTGTCTGAACAGGTCTTTCAAGGACTCACAGTATGTTACATGATGGTGACTCTTTCTGGAGAGACATGCGTGGCAGAACCCATGGTCTCCTCTTTATACTGGCTGTTCTCCCAGCCACGCCGAATTCGCTTCAGCTTCCTACCAACACAGGGGAGGAGGAGAAGTACCTTTCCCATGATGACCATCACAGGCAGCACCAGGGCCACCACAAAGTTTGGAGGCATGTAGAATTTATAATATTCTTCTTCAAAGGCTCTCTTCCAGCCGTAGAGCAACACATGGAATGTAGCAATCAGGAGAGCCACATACCCCAGGGTAGACTGCAAATAGCATACAAAATAGCAATTCAATAATGCCTTCACTTCTACAAAACTGAGTATTTTCTTGGCTAGGGTTGGTAAGGTGCTGTAGTGGTTAGGTTTGACTCCAAGTCAGAGGATTATGTGTTCAAACTCCAGGTGGGATGCTCTAGTGCAAGACTCCGTTGATAAACAGTAAATTGGTAAATTTACCAATCTGGTCAATTTCTGCTCTATGAATGCCCATCTAGGCCGCCCATTGTCAATGTTTTCAATTCACTTCTCTGGTTAAAAAGGATTAAATTCAAAACTGAAATGTAATACCTATTTTGCTTAATTAAATGTGCAGGGTCCAGTTTAACACATTAGTTGCATAAAATTCCTGTAAGCATACTGTAACCTAGCTGTTGATGGAAATCTTTGGCAAGATATTCAATGGAGACTCACAATTGTAGCATTTGGGCTCATCACTCTTAAGAAGGCCACAGAAAAAACATGTTTTAGGCACAGTTGTCCTGGGACAGTAACTGACTGTAATTCTTTCTGTGTTGTGAAAGAATTGCAGTGTGTATGTCCAGGGTCTCCAGACCTTTGAAAGTTAGTTCTATAATGACCATTGTATTGTAATCCTAAATCTTATTTTCTATGCATACTTATGCTATGTCTTAAACTATGTATGTTTAATATAATATTGTGTAAAATGAAACTGCATTAAAGTGAGTTGGATAAAAGCATCACACAATATTTAACACTTGCAGTTATGGAATTGCCTATACTGTGTATTACACATGAATGTAGTAAGAAGCCATCATCTTTCCACTGTTGGGGTACTACTCACACATGCATTCGTCTTTCAAAAAAAATTAGGACTTTTTAAGTCCAATTTCACTTTCCAATACACTTAAAAAAAGCAGCTTCTTAATTGCATAACTGAACTAATTTAACACTTCCTCACAGTAGCAATAGTCTGGATGCACAACAATCCATTAAAGATTTTGATTGGATTTTGCAGTAGCCTTTAAAGATGAAAGTACAGGACCCACCTGAATGAAACTGAACTCTCTCCAGTTGAGGGCACTGTTCACTGAAGGTATTGATGTGATGGCCAGCAGAGAGAGCAGACCTAGACTCATGATTCCAAAGGAGATGTACATCTCCACTCTCCAGACCTCCTCCTCATTCCAAGCATGTTCTACATTTGCATGAACCTGTAGAACAAACCAGGTGGTCAATTAGAACTGCCCTTGTACTGTCAATGGCATGTCATAGCTGCAGGGTCCTGGGTTGGATTCTGGCCAATAGCTCCTGTCTGTGTGAAGGCTGCATGTTTTCCACGTGTTTGTCTGGATTTTCAACAGGTACTTACAGTAGGTTCCCTCCCATCTTCCAAAAAATATGTGAGTAGATATGACACTCCAATATGATTTACTTTAAAATGCTCATAGGCCCCGGAGAGTCTGGTCTTACTAGCATCCTAATTGTACAAAACAAATAGAACACTCCAAAGAACTAAAACAGCAGCATCTTACTGTGTTTATAGACCAGTTTTGCCTTACCATTTCAAAATCTGTCTTCTTGTCTACAATTTTATAATGAAAGAGAATGATTTCCCTGAATTTACAGTGCTTGTCTTTCTTGAAAAACCCTTAAGGCACCTGCTTCTGGGCCTCACCTGCTGGAGGGCCATGTTGAGGAAGAGGTAGCGCTCAGACTTCCTCAGCGGCAGGCATAGGCTGTAGACCACGTGCACTGAGGCAAAGAAGAAGCTGAGGAGCCCCAGCTGCTTCCGGCACTGCATCCAGCCATCCAGCCAGTGTGGGAAACGGCGGTACTTGGTGCCATAGTACAGCTGGTGTGCTGCTGCCAGGAGCCCTGCTAGGTATACCAGTGACAAGAGGGTGATGGCGACCACTGGCAGGGTCTTGTTGACGATCTCCACAGGGATTTTGTAGAAGTCACTCTGTTGGTTCTTCACGTAAGGGTGAATGATGTCCCTAATGAAGGAGTAGACAAAGAAGAGGATGGACAGGCTGACAGCCACCAACACTGGCCCCTTCCAGGGTGTGAAGAGATGCAGGGGGATGTTTTCTATCTCTTTGGCTGAGGAGAGAGTGCCCATGTCCACTGGAATAAAGTTCAGCTGCCGAGCCACTTCTAGGACCTGCTGACGGGCTTCCACGGAATTGCTGCACACATACACCTGTAAGCAAGTTGAAATTATTAACCCTGCAACTTGTTCCTTTTATCATTTAGATATTTTTGGAAATGTCAACACAAATGATGGCATGAAAGCACCTTTTCTGTGATATTTAAGATAGTAAACTGGTACATTAATTTTGAAAATACCTATCATATAAGCTGAAATTACTTTATCTTAAAATGCCCAATACTTTGTAAAGCAAATATAAAAAACTATCAAGCAAATATAAAAAACTTGTGTAACAGTTCCCAACTTATAATTTTAGAAATGTTATAAATGAAAAAATAAATAATGGTTTCAGAGTATTTAAAAAGAATTTAAAAGAAATCTAATTATCTTAATTTTAGAAGACCATATTTGCCTTTCAGAATCAACACTGAGAACAGGGTCTGGTTGTGGATGTGAAAGTTACATATCTTGATGATCATTTAACGATCTGCTCTCTCTGGGGTCCCGATAGAAAAGAAGACAGTTCGAGCATAATAATTCTGTCTATTTTCATCTTTTTATCTTAGTACCCTGAAAAAAACATCCTGAAACCCTGTTGCTGTGTCTGCAGTGCATACAATGTTCTGTGAGCACACAGAGTGAAGCAAAAGATCTAAGATGCCCAGTGTCCTTAATTGTTCTATTAAGAAAGCATACTTCTGGGCAAGATCTGAAAGATTACAACACATGTTGAAGTGACAGTTATCTAAAACTGCTATGGCATTATACTGTTGAAAATTATTCTGTCCTTAGGGTATTCACCTCTGAGAATTCTTCCAAACATGATTTGGCCCCCTGCAAATCTGTGCACTAACCCCATTCTGATAGGGCAACATATGCAATTTTGTATATCATGAATCAATAACCTCCAGCTCTCACTGTACTTACCTGTCGACTGGCATCCTTTGGACCGGACTGCATGGCCCAAGCAGAGATCACATTGAACCCTTTCACCACAATGGACTCAGGGAACAAGGAAGCCAAATATTCAGCATTGGACTCTGGGTACTGGTTCATACGCGCATTGTTGCTGACATCTACTAGGATTTTCCCCACCAAAAGGTGTTTCAAATCCCATAGGGACGCATAATGTTCACGGTGAATAGCAAGGAAAATAAGTCCAGCTTTGGCCACAGCATCTTCATGATGGGTGACATCAACTACATGAGGAAAAAACTCTGCAGCCCTCTTAGGATTCCGGCTCCCGACTACCACATGGTAGCCACATCTTAGCAGCCTTATTGTTAGACACTTGGAAAAGTCCCCAGATCCAATGATTCCTACTGTGGCCTTTGCTCCTTCTTTAAGTCCATTCTTCATACCATTTGGTAGGAAAGTCTCCTTGGTGTTCAGTGGACTTCCCATCATAGAAATGCTTTCCATTGTCTTGCTCTCTGTCTTATTTCTTGGGGTTCTAGGACAAAAAAACCAAGCCATTAACAAGTACATTTACTAAAAGTATACCCATCATGCATCTGCTATGGGTAATGAAATGAGAACAATAGCTTTGTAAAAAGACTGAAACAAGTACAGTACTTATATCCAAAATGTATATGCTTAAAACTAAATTTGCTTAACTTTTATGATGCTAGAATGAAATAAGCTATAAAGGTTTTTTGGCATCTAAAGCAGTTTAGCAGTATAGCAGTTTGGGAAATTCAGAATAATTCTTCAGTACATAATGAAAGAAAAGAGAAGAAAAACAACTTAAGTAACACAGAGCAAGAATCACGACTTGATTGTTTCTTTAGTACATACTTAAGTCCAATCAATCAGCACTTGTTAATGAGCTCAGCAATGAACACATTTGCTTTCCAACAGTTAAAAGATCAGAATTACCCCGATTGAAGGTTGGGTTAGAAGTAACTATCGATATAATAGATAAAAGGAAATCCACATGTTTTTTACTAATTGTAATTAATACCTTTTCCTAACATTATATCTTGCCACAAGGAATGTAGTAATAATGCAGTAAATTGTTTAATCTGTTTTTAGTTGGGATGTATGTTTATAAGCATATAAGATGGGTGGATATAAAATCAACAAATACTTATTTCTGTTTTTGAATTCCAAATACTGTTGTCCATACATTCCCAAAGACCAACTAAAACCAAACAGTACATCTGGCTCATCTGGGTAAGGAATAGAACTCAAACGTGTTGTTCCACTTTATTTTTTGGCAACGTTTTTTTCAACACTAAAACCCCACATTGATGGAGAATACTAATTGATGTCACATATAATAAAAGACAATTAATTATAATAAGAATTACAGGATTAAAATCGACTGCACTTTGCATACACTGACACATTTACTATAAATACAAAGAACGATGCTAGTGTTTATTAGCGACGTTTCTCTCAGCAGACATCTGCTCCAGTGATTTAAATTGCCATGTGATGATAACTTGAAGCTGTTCATTACATACACAATGAGTCAACGGCTTCTAAGCTCTATACTCTAAATACAACAGTCATTTTAGCTAAGGCAAAACAGAAAGGGGCCTTCTCTCCTCAAGGACACAGAGAAGGGAGTCATTGTCAGACATCATGTATTCTTGCAGGCACTCGGACAAGGAAGAGGAATCAAATACGTGGTACTTAAATCTTGATGCTATGAAAACATGAAAATTACATTTTTATTGTGTAATACATTGCTTACCTGACTACTGGACATTGCTACGAACAAGATTAGGCATGCAAATTTCGGGTTAGATAGGTTTGTCTTATTTCCACTTTGGAGAATGATTTTGAAAAAGAAAAATAAATTTAGTCAAATAACATTAGTGCAGCAATAAGTGGTGCAGAACCAGAAAGCAATATTGGTTCTGCGCAGGCAGGAGAAATAGCAGCATGTCTTCGGAGGAGCCTTAATGATTTAAAATACCTTTATTTTGGAAAACTGTATTAAAATATACAATTTTAAATTAAATGCAATGACGCAATGCCACAGACGTACCTTAATTGTATTCTGGAGCTCTTATAGAGCTTTCCAGTAGTTGCTGTGCTCAGCTGATGCCTGTTCTCTCTCCGCCCTCGTTGAATGATTTTCTTGTACCAGAATCGCTCTGCATTGAACCAGCCAACTCTTTTTCCTTTCAAGCAGGCGGAGCACGTTTCACTATCGCACCAAACTGGGGGTGAAACAGCTCTCCGGAGCAACGCAGGCGCCCTCCTCTTCTTTCTGCCAGTGCCAGCTTGCCGAGCGAGGAGTGAATGCAGACGTCATATGGACGAGAAACCAGTGAGCATCATTAGATGGTCTGTGCCCGGAGAACTGTACAGGAAGCGTCGGGAGAAATTTATCAGCGCGACCTGAAATTTTAAGAATTTTTGGATACAACGCAATAAATGTGATGTTAAACAAATGAAAAAGTTGTAAGCCTATTTACTTGCGCACATAAATAACATTCGACTGGATATCCATTTGCTCTGATGCATGGCTACGACATTCTGAGACTAATTGTTGAGAGTCGATATATTTACAGTACATATCCTGATTTTGTAAATAATGGAGGATAGTCAGTGTAAGTTTTCCACGATAAAGGTACTTTTCTAAACGGTATTAAAATGCCCAAATGAAGGTACACCGAGGAGAAGAGTCCGAATGCAAAACATATGCATTACCACAAATTTCTAGCGGGTTACAACAACGTGTGAAATGCTTTCTACCAAGTGCGTTGTCAGGGCTAGCTTGAAAAGGTTCAAACAAACGAAGTCCCGTTAAATTGTTAAAGTGAGTGTTACTGCTGTGTGAGGACAGACGTTCCCTGAAAAATAGCACTTTCGAACGATTTTATAAACGGGTGATTTTAAATTACTCAGGACTCAAAGCCCAGCCAATTTATATTATCTTTTATTTGCAGTATACTTTATGTTTTCTGGTTCATTAATTTGCTGTTTTTATACGTAAATGCGCATGTTTTATATAAAAGTATTTTGGTTATAGCAATGTATGTCATAATGCTCAGCACTACTGATTCACTCCTCTTGGGTTCTGTTCCAGTTTTGATTATCTGTGTGGCATTTGCATGTTGTCTTAGTGTTCATATGTGTTTTCCAGAGTCTTCCAAATCGTGCATAGGCTAGGTGACTATCATAGTCCCTTAGCTGCCCTGTGATCGCTGGTGTTCTGCCCAAGGGGCAGCAGATTTGTCCTCTCAGTCCTGCCTTGTGGGAAAGGGTCTAACCTTTCACATCCCTCACAAGGATAGGTCGGTTTTTGATAATAGATGGGTAGCTGTTTCATTTTTATTGAGAACAAGGCTTCTTTAAACATACTGAATAGAAATAAGAAGGTCTTGCACAATAGGTGCATTGAAAGGTGAGTTACACTACAAAGAGTAGTATTATAATAAAGAGAAGAATGACAATGTATGTTTCCAAAAGTCTAAACCTGACAGTGAAGCCATTTTTATGGATAAGGTATTTGAGTAGCTAATATAAATTACATTTTATGTTTAAAAGAGTTCCTTTATCAGATCACAACATTGAGCAGGAACTTAAAATGTGTTGCTAGGTTTTACCAATGGTTGCTTGGGTTAGCACTTCAAACAGTGATAATACTGTAAACCTTTCTGTATGCTTACATTCTGGCTAGTTTTAAGCATTGTTCTGTACTGTGTATGGCAGTTACACTACCACACTACAAAAAAACTAAATTTCTGCCACTGTTAAGTCATCACTATCGTAGAATGAAAGAACAGATTATTGTGCTTGTGCTTTTACTCTATGGTGCACAAGCTTGCAGAAAATTCTATCCTGTTTTGTTATTTTTTTATTTCTGTACCTTCTAGAATTGGTAAGAAATGGTATTTTAGGTATCGTTAGTGCGCATGATCATTTTTTCCTCAAATCCAAATCAGGAATTTTCCAATTTTCTTTTTATAGGGAAGTTGATAGAGATAAATAGCAACATTGTGACTGAAGCTCTGATGTTTAGAGAGCAAATAGCAAAGGTCAGTCTTTTTCTTAAAACTGTAAATAAAGTGAAAACTTTCTTTCTTAAATGATTGGGACAAATTATTTTGTAAATCATGAATTATGTATAATTGTTTTACATAATATTTTAAATGGTTTACTTTAACCTTGATTACTTGAGACCGATCTAATGTCTATCTGATGTACAGAAACATTTTTAAATACAATTCTTTTAAAGAAAGAGGAATTTCACACAGTGCCACTTATTGAATTGATGATAATGTTAATGCGGATTTTGTCCTTTGGATTATGCATTACAAGAAAAAATCAATTAAATGAGATTCCCATAACAAAAAGACACATTTGTCATACAGAGTTCCATTAAAAAGTCTGAACATACAGTATTTTAAACACTTTTTGTGTTTGCACATGATCAGAGAGTACAGTAAATGTATCTGTGATGAGATACAAGTCCCAATCACTGGCCTGGTACTATACATCCTTTCAATCTGTTGCTGTAGCAGCTGACACTTCCTTTGCAATAAGAGCATCATGCACCACCTCATGCCAAATCCTGGAATGACGGAGTTTTTGATTTTTCTGTCTCATGGGTCATTACATTTATTTTTCTTGAAGATTAGCAGTGATAATTTTTGCTTGAAAAGCAAAGCAGTCAAAGAAAACAAACTGAAGTCTGAGCCAAATAGACTAGCATACCTCAAACACAAGAATGGTTACAAATGAGAGCAAGCCATTCAGCCCATCTTACTCTTTTGTTCAAAGGAATTTGTTTCTGCTTGCTTACAAATTCAAGGTGTCACAAATTCCAGCTGTCAGAGAAAATGCATGATAACCACAACAATGCAATTTAAGGATACCACTTTTCAGGCTTCAGCCATGGGGGTGCTGTCTTTACCTGTTTGCAGATTCCTGCTCACATCACTATAGATTCTCTGCTGTCTACTGTGTCCTGCTACATGACACAGAACACAACTCTCAGTCTCTTGACTGGCATTATACTGGCAAGTACAGTACAATCAAGATTGAATGTGGGTTTGAGATTGCAGACTAGAGTCCAGTATTTCAAGTAGGTACAGTAGCTGCATCAACATGCACAGGCTGCAAAGGAACAGGTAACGGGTTTATTCCTGAATTTATCTATTGCTGAAAAGAAAAGAAAGGAAACACAACATTTTGGCCGTGGAGCCTGGTGTCACACCTGACACCTTCACAGCTGAAGAAGACCAAAATGTTGTGTTTCCTTTTCTTTTCAGCATGGAATAAACCCATTACCCTTATCCTTTAGAGTCCAGTATTAGCAGTTATATTAACCTTTAGATCCAAGGGCTAGACTTCGGCCACTTCAGATCAAGTGTAATATTTGTAGTTATTATACACATAATACACTTAATACATCAGAATTTCTAAGGGTCTTAAGGCCTGAGGTAAAGGCTTAGACTGATCTAATTAGACGTTCATTGGGCGAATGCAGGTTACAGGTGTCCAAAATATTCAACTTTTATAAAGGGTTGTTTCAATTAATTGATACCTGCACAAATATTATTTCTTCTTTTTGAAATACACTGCTTAGGGTTCATTCTTTTTTATTGAATCACTTTGGGACATTTGTATATGAATGGGGCAATCAGAAAAAAAAGAATATTTTTAGTAGTATTTGAATAAGATTTGTGCACCCACACAATTTGTGTTTGAAAGTGCATAGATGAAATCTGTCATTAATGTCTTGTTGTGATCCAGTTATTGAAATTATTGGAACATGTGGAGTTCTGTATTTAGAGATTGTGCCAAGCATGGCAGAAGAAGAGACAAATCCCTGTATACATGCTAAATTGAAATAAAAATACCCTGTAATATGTTGTGCAAACCTTCAAAATGTAGGAGAGGCTCGCATGTCAACAATTTTTATGAATTCAAAAAGTTAGCAAGATCTAGCTTGTTCAGAAGACATTTAGCTGTTTCAAAGAGAGTTAGATAACGTAGACAAGATTTTTTTGCAATTGATAGAAATAAAAAAGGTGTTACATAAAGACCTTCTGATGGCGAGAGTCCACAGCAGTTTCCTGGGGTTTATAAGGAAGTGCACTCAGCCACCTCTTTTGTGGCTTCTGAAGACTTTTTCTCCCATCCACGCTGAATCGCATGCAACCTCCTATCCAGGCACGGAAGAAGCAACACAGCCCTGCACAGCAGAACTCCCAGGGGCAGGAGGACCACCAGGATGAACGAGGGAGGAGTGTACCATACGAAGTGTTTCACCTCTGCCCACTTCCGCCAGCCGTACACCAGGGCATGAGCAGTGCACAGCAGGAGGGCACAGCATCCCAGGTTCCTCTGCAGCATGGAAATATATGCAGTTAAAAAATCTGTACGATGAGAAACTTACAAATTTGATCAACTAATCTTTTCACAGTAAAGTCTTTAGGAAAAACAATCAGGGTGTTTATAAAATTAGCTAGAGAGTTCTTCCAATGAGCGAGCTAATTTTACAAGTATCCTGTGCCGTTATGCACTTCAACACCACATATTGTTAAAAGTAGTTATTACCTGAACACAGCGAAATTCTCTCCAGTTTAAAGTCTCACTGACTGATGGAATGGAAGCCAGTGCCAACATAGCCAGAATTCCAAGACTCAGAATCCCGAGGAACAGGTAAATCTCCATTCTCCACACATCATCCTCAATCCAGGCATCTTCTTTGTTCTGTTTTACCTGTGGTGATACCAGTACCTGACTTGGGATGCTATTTTTTAATCATATTCTTGATTAAACATTTACCTGGAGGCACTGTGGCATGGCACCTAGAGCAGCTACCTCAGAGCTCCTTGGTTTGATTCTGTGATGCCTTTTGCATGTGTGTACAAAATATTCTCCATAGGTTAATGGGTTTAAATTGTGTGTACTGTATGTGTATCCAGTGTACAACTGCATGCTTCCGGGATAGGCTATGGCTGCAACCCTGCCACAGAATATGTGGCTTTCTGATGAAAGATTCATTTTCCATATCGGTGTTGATCCAGATTCATAAAAGTATATTTTGATTACAACTTTACAGTAATTTAACAGTCCACTCACTTTAGTCAAATTCAACAATTTAAAAACTGAGAGGACATCAAAAACGACAATAGAAATATATTGAGGCAAAAAATTAAAATGTGAAGAGCACTAACCTCAGACTAAGATTTAAGGCTAGGGTTAAAACTAGCTTTAACAAAACTCTGAACATAGTCTAAGACCTAACTTTAGTCTTAATCCTAAACCTAGTTACAACTCTATACCTAGTCCAGGAAATTCTACTGTCCATTAAAAAGATTGAAACAGGGATCATCTGGGTCACCTTGGTTAATATAGTTCTGGGTAAATGATTAGATGTCAATCAACAGTTCACAGGCACACAGCATAAAGCAGGAAGCTTTAAATGAGCTCCAGGAGAGGGGAGGACACAGGATGGAGAAAAGGTGAGAAATGAGAACGAGGAAGACAAAAGCTTCTTGTCCAGATCATCCAGAAAGACCAGTATTTGAACCTTATTAAGAGTGCTTGCCATTCTGTTGTTTTTAGGAAACTCTGATTTCCTAAAATAATCCCTTAGTTAAAAATGGCATATCCTAGTTATTGGGTGCATTTTTAGAATAGGGAGATAGGTTTCCCATTCACTTTGTAGCATCTCAGATTACACAGATTACACATTTAACTGCAGGTCTATTCTGATTGGGATGCAGCTTTATCTTATTTTGGCCTTTGTAGGCATTATATAAGTATACTTGGAAGCAGTATACTTGGAAGCAGTCCAGGTATCTTCTGGGTGTTGAGGATGTTGACCTCTGGGATGGCTTTTTTGTAAGTTTGCAAATAGTGCAACATGTGTGTGGTGTATGTGTATGTTGTATGGTGTTTAGTGTGTCATTGTCACTGTTAATAAATATTAGTTTAACCAGTGTGCCTGAAGTATTACTATTTTCACCTAAGATATGGCAAAGTACAAAGAATGTACAGCAGGTATCTCTATTTATACCAACAACTATTTATACCAACAACTTAAGCACATGAAGCACATAAAGGACACCATTCCAAACACACTGGACTCATACCAATTTGTCTACCGGCCTAACAGATCCACAGATGATGCAATCTCCATTGCCATACACACTGCCCTATCTCATCTGGTTAAAAAGAACACATAGACAAGACTACTATTCATCAACTTCAGCTCAGCTTTTAACACGATCATTCCAGAGAAACTAGTCAAGAAACTCGGTGGACTGGGTCTCGACACCACCCTCTGCAACTGGATTTGGGACTTTCTGACAGGCAGACCTCAGGCTGTCAGGCTTGGAGACCACACCTTGGAAAGCACACTAACTCTGAACACTGAGGTCCCCCAGGGATGTGTGCTTAGTCCATTACTCTACTCCCTCTACACCCACGACTGTAAGGCCAAACACAACACCAACTCTATCATCAAGTTTGCCGATGACACCACAGTTGTAGGTCTGATCACAGACAATGATGAGAGGGCCTACAGGGAGGAGGTCAATTTTCTTCCAACGTGGTGTGAACACAACAACCTCACCCTCAACGTCAGCAAAACCAAGGAAACTGCAAAATGGACATGCCCCTATCCACATCAACGGGACTGAAGTGGAAAGGGTCAGTAACTTCAAATTCCTTGGCATCCATATCACAGAGGACCTCACATGGTCTCTCAACGCCACCTGTCTGATCAAGAAAGCGAAACAGCACCTGTACTTCCTAAGACGGTTGAAGAAGGCTAAGATATGTCCGCAGATCCTCACTAACCTTTATAGATGCATTACAGAAAGCACACTGACAGGTTGCATCACAGTGTGGTATGGCAACTGCAGTATTGCTGACTGCAAAGCCCTACAGCGTGTGGTGAAAACTGCCCAGTCCATCATTGGGGTTGCCCTCCCATCCATACAGGACATTTATGACAGACGGTGCTTGAGGAAAGCTCTAAGCATCATCAAAGACCCCACATACCCCAGCTACAGACTGTATGACCCTCTGCAATCTGGAAAACGGTACCGGAGCATTTGGGCCCGGACTACCAGACTCAGAGACAGTTTTTACCCCCGCACTATCAAACTATTAAACTCCCAGCCTCTCTCACCTACGATCTGAACCTCACAGTGCCTTTTTTCATACCAAAAACTCAAACACACATTGAAATCTACCTCTACCTCACATGTCAAAAAGCTCAGTCACCATAATTTTCTATCCTTTATTTCTATTATTATTATTATTTATGTTGACGTATGTTTTTACACATCTAATGTTGTTTTGCACATTACCTGTTACCTTTTGTTGTTTTGCACACTGCCTGTTGTCTCTGTCTTTCTTTTATTATACAATTGTATTGTTGTTGTTTTTTGTACTACTTATCATCTGAGAGCTAGCTAAATAGCATGTAGTTATACCATATGCCTGTATATGAGTATAATGACAATAAACTTGAACTTGAACTTGAACAACTCAGGTATATTCTTAGCAAAAATCTTTATAATTTGGTTCTTATGATTCTTTATTTTACTTACTGATTAATCTGCTCAGATATTTCTTATATTTTCTCTATGTATAACAGTATAATACACATGTACTCAAAAATCAAAAGGCACTTTCTGTGTAATCCATTTGGGCACCTTTGAAGCTACAGCTTTAAAACTAAATTCACCATAGAGAACACAAATCTTTGTAAAGTCCAGGTCAAGCAGTCAACTCTTTGCGGTGTCATGAAAAGAAAATAGAAAACAGCAGTATACTAATAAAGATGAAACTGTGAATTTGTGAAATGACACATTGACATTTGCACCAGACAGCTATTATTCTATTTAAATGTGAAATATATACAGCATGAAAAAAGAATCTAGAATGCTAACTTAATCTTGAGTTAATTGAACTTAATAATGTCTGGGGGGCATGTAGAAATTATAACCCTCTTTCTTAAAAAAAATATTATTCACGAATTTCTCAAAATCACATCTACACTTAACTGTCAGTGATATTTCAAATTTAATTATTAATCTATCCAGTAGAAGTTAAAAATTTCCTTATTTAGGATATAGTGACTGATACTCACATCTGCAAGTGTATACAGTATATCCAAGTAGAAAGAATGAAGGTTCACTCTACAAATTACCTAACTCTTATCCATGAGGAGATATTCTACAGCTCCACCTCCACTTACATTACTATAGTGATGATTCATCCTTACAATCCAAGCCATTCATGTAGACAATGTCAAATGAAAGGCTACAACACTTTGTGTTCTGGAGATGCTGATTTGTGATGGAGACCTTCAACAGTTACCTTTGGATTTATAGTTGCCTTCTGAATCAATTGTTTCACAGCTCATGGTAGCAAGACACACTTTCTAGAAGGACTGCCACTATACCAGTAGCTTTCAATTTCTTAACAATGAACACTTGAGTGGAAAGTGGTAGATAGATTCAGTTTTTGTGAATATACTCATTCGCCAGTTTGTGAAAGTTAATGACAATTTGCCTGAAGTCTCAAAAGAGCTCCCTGACCTTAACTATGATAATGGTGCTACTGATCAATCTCTTCCTTGTGCAACCTCATTTTTATAACCTTCAGGGGTCTCTTAATAGTTCCAGAGGCTTATAAAGCACTTCCAAACAGCACAATGTTATTAAATATTTTTGGGGTTTATTCAAAAGAACACTTAAAAGTGTGAAAAATGTGTTTTATGGAATTAACTTATTCTTGATATGCCTTTACTCTGCCATATCAGTTTTTGATTTTTTAAGCAAGAAACATTTTACATTTTATTAAATGATCTTTTTTTTCTCTCATTTCATCAATGAAATGACTAAATCTGAAGGGCATTGTACATAGGTTGTATACAGCTTTGCTACTGTATATTTTGCTTCTGAATAATAAATAATACTTTGTTGTACTTCAATGGCTCATTCTCCTTGTCCCATGCTTTCACACCTACATATACAGTAAGTTTCCCATGAAACACAAAGAAATTCCTTACTCCCTCTGCCACTAAGATCACTCAGATCAGTCCTCTAATGGTTGACCACAGTCTTCCAAAGAATAGCAGCATACTGTATTGCCATTACTGTCTGCGATTCAGAACAAGGCAACAAAACTTCCAGTGATGTGATGCAGCTCTATTACATTGTAAACAAGCAGGCTTGTGAATACACCTCTTTTAATCCCATAGAAATATTGCAATCAGTCATAAAAACATATCTAATACACATCCTAACTTAGGTCTTAAACAAAATTATAATAAAAAGGATCACTTGTGATCCTTCACACCGTGAAGATTATTTTCTGGTTTTCTATCAAGCACTGATATTATCCTCTCACTGCTTTCTCTTTTCATAGGTCGCTTTTTTATGGCAGCTGTTTTGAGCACAAGTTTTAGCTCAGTATCTGAAATATATATATATATAAATCTATCTCATATTACAAACTTTTAGGCTTCATAAAGTCCAAACTCCAAAGCAGAGAACATTTCAATACACATAACCTATCCCAAACTGACAATATTTAAAAACCAATCTATTTCTGTTGCAATAAAGTCCATGCTTTAGACCAAGTGAATTTTGATACTGTATTAATTTATACAGTATGTAATGTTATGAAACTGACACATAACAAGGCAACATTTAGTAGACATTTTATCTAGACTGGCAATTTGAATTAGTGCAATTAAATGGAATCCAACATAGTGACTTTGAGATGGTTTTGTTAACTCTGCATGAAGATCACACTGAAACATTTGTGCAGTGAAAAGATTATTTGTTTTGTGTACAACCACTATGTTCTGTACAGCCAAATACACGACAGTAAAGTGTCCTTTAAAATATATACTTGATTTAAGAAACCCAAAAAATAATTAACTTGTTTTGTAGACCAAACAACTTTGCTTATGGGTACTAGTGAGGAGGAAGAGCAATTTTCACTTCACGCACACTCTCACCTGTGGCAACAACGTGGCAACCATACAGTACTTTCATAAAGGTCATGATTTTGCGCTTAATTTAACATGTAAAATGTTGCTATAGTGTCAATGAACTTATTTTGTTACAGAGATTCCATACCCGGTTTGCGAAATTGGGAATGCAGTTCCCCTTTGCTGTGCAGGCTTATTGTGTAGTTCTATGGTTCCAGTCAAACCTCAAGCACTGACTTGGCTCTCACCTGCTGATAGGCCCAGTTCAGCAGTTTATACCTGTAGGACTGTCTCATTGAGTAGCAGAGGCTGTACACTGCATGCAGCACAGCACAGAAACAGCAGAGGAGGCCCAGCTGCTTTCGCATTTTCAACCAGATTGCCAGCCAACTTGGAAATGGGCTGTACTTGGTGCCTGGAGCAAAAAAAAACTCTTATTATATAGTCCACTATAAAGCAGATGATAAATCTGATGCATTTGTTAACCTGCAAAGTCCTGTCTAAAAGTATGAAAAACCCAACCTAACCTAGCTGTTCATTTATGTAGAAACAAAGATGGAAAAATGTAAAAAAATCATATTATTACACTATAAAAACTTTGCTGTTGTTATGTTTTGTTGAATGAGTAAGAAATGTGACTTTTTAAAAGCAAAAAATATTAAGACAAAGATAAAAAAACACTGTAGTAACTTTTAGGAATGTTAATTTAACATTATATTAATGATCTGTTTAAAGTTTGACATCTACAGATGCAGCCTTTCAAAATGCATGGTAAAACCCCATACCACACTAAATTATCTTCAGTTTAACGCGTTATACCGCTGTACGTGATTGGTTTTACGTTTTTACGTGCTCCTTCTGACTATATTAAGTTTATATACTTCATCCAAAGTTATAATGTTTTAACCTTTTACAACTAAAGGGAAATTTAAGTAGATGAGCATAAAATGAAGAGGAGCATAACATGTCTGAAGACCATAAACGATATTAATTTAGGAACATAAACATATTACGTAAACTGTATAAACATTTAAAGCATCAAAGTCTTTCATTCGGTTGCATACTGTGGTTATTTTTGTAAAAGTTTTTATGTACTCCTCCTGACTATATTAAGTTTATATACTTCATCCAAAGTTATAATGTTTTAACCTTTTCAATTAATACTTGCGATCATTATCGCAGTAAAAGAAATGCATACTTTTTAGAGTTTAATTAATAGGGAATATAATATGGAATCGCATATCTAAAGAAATTAATAACAATATAATTATATTCATATAGTTCAAATGATCACAGGAGAGAAGAAAGAGAAGAAAAAAGAGATGAAAAACACAATTTCTGCTGTGGAGCCTTCTTCGGGTCACCTGTACTTGTGCCTTTGCAGTCCATGCATGCTGGGTTACCTAAAGAAGGCTTCACAGCCGAAATGTTGCATTTCTTTTCTTCTCTTTTCAGCATGGAATAAACCTTTAATAAACCTTGTTCCTTTGCTCTATGGATTACTCAGTGGCTTTCCCTACCTTTCACAATTCTCAGTTTTTTTTAAGCAATCTTACCTCGATGCAACTGGAAGACTACAGTCAGAAAGCCAGGCAGATACACCAAGGCTAGGAGGGTGATTGCCACCCCAGGTAGAACTTTATTCATGACCAGAATGGGAATTTTATAGAACTCGTTCTTGCTCTGAGACACAAAGGGGTGGATGACGTCCCTCAGGAAGGTGTATAGGAAAAACATTGTTGAAAACATGGCAGCTAGCTTCAGTGGCAGGTGCCACAGTGGAAAAAGCTGGAGGTCCAACTTGTTAACACCAGGAGGGCTTTCGAAGTCCTCAAAAGCAAATGAGAAGGGATGGTGAAGTGGAAAGTGATTGGTAAGCAGAGCAGTATCCGGAATATCAGAGACCTTTAAAAGAAAAATTGACACAAACAATAAAGGAAATAATTTTATGGGCACAGAAGCCTCTGGTAGTCTACATTTTTTTACACACTACTGCAGTTCAGTATGCAAGTTTCTCACTAATATTTTTAAAAAGGTAGTATAGTTTTTCAATTACCAGTTGCAGAGTGCTACTGCTCTCTCAAGGGATTAGTGTTCCTAATGCATTTACTGTACTCAGCATTTACAGGACATAGAAAACCCCTTCAAGGCACTCTATACAAGACAAGCTACATACTGTATTAAGTGTGTTCCAGAGGAGGTTGGGCTGTACGTTTCCGTCTAGACACTGTCTGGTGTTGTACTACCTTGGAAATACTTGAGGATCTCTCTTCTGGTAAGGTTTTGATATAAAAATAATTTTCTACAAGTTCTTAACAAGAAAGGCCAAGGGTTACTACAATATTATGAAATAATATCCCTGTTCTGTCAGCCTGGTTTAATGCCAAAACCAGTATGCTTCACAATGCAGTTTTACCCTATTAATGTGATAAATTGTGCTAAATCACTTCCATTATTTGGTCATTTAGCTCTTAGTCTGATACATGACAGTCTAAATGTTAAAAAGTTTCTTCATTTGGAAAGAAGTTAGAAACTGTGTACTTGCATGAAGCTGTGCTTGTTACAGTGTATTAAGGTTTTTATTTAGACCCTTGCACAGTTTTCATATTTTTGCTTAAAGTTTGCAATCATTACACTTTGAAGCAGCAAATAATATGTGTTATGTACACAACCCACTCCAAACAACCTAGTCCAAAAAGAAAAAAGTAAATAGTATATATGAAAGAAAATGTTGTGACAGCATTTAAGCATTAAGTATTTAAAAATGTTGTGGCGACTAATTTAGGTGCACAAAATTACCATATCAAGCCACACAGTTAGTTTAGCGGCATCGATGTGCAATAATCATTAGTTATACGATTTGAGAATAAATATATTCATCGTTGTAAGGTATCTTGGTCAGGTAGTGAATCTCAAGAAATGATTTAACAATGAAGACCAAGGGGGATAAATTGTCAAACTCAGGGATAAATTGTAAAAAAGACACAGATCAAGAGAAAGGTATAAAAGTATTTCAATATCTCTTACTACTTTATCTCTTTGAGAATGTTTAAGTCAATCATTACGAAATGGAAGGTACCCAGGAACTGAATAGATCAGGCTCTGCCTCCAAACTGATTAGCTAGGCAAGGAGGAAGCATGTCTGGGAGGCCAGAGAAAGGCCAACAGTTTACAGAATTCAGTGAGTGAAAAGGGTAAAAATGTCCATGGGTCAACAATATCCATGGGTCACTCCACAAAGGAGACTTCTATGCAACTGAAGAAAAAAAACACATCTCAAATTCTGCACAGGGTTTACAACAAAGCACTTAAGTGATCGCAGGCATGTGGCAAAAGGTCAGACAAGACAAACTAGAACTTTTGGTCTAAATTGCAAAGTGCTACATCTGACACTAACCCAATATAGTGGGCACCATTCCTACCTTCGACTTACCCAAAAAGACTTCAGGCTCTAATTACTAATAAAAGGTACTTAAACCTAAGATTGAGCTCATGGGTCTAAATACTGTACATATGCAATCAGAATATGATCACTTCTTTAATTTTTGCTGACATTTAATCTAACCTTCATAAAATGTTTTTAAATTGTATACACATCATTTGTAAATTCTACAAATTGGAGTGCCTCAGGAAGGGTCTAGATGCTTTTGGAAGGCACTTTAAACCGGAGTGGATTCAGAAAAGATGAAAGAAGCACAAATTACTATGATTGTGAAGTAATCAGTTTATTTGGGTCCAAGCATCTGTTTCTGTGTGCTCCTGGTTTTAAAAGTGACTGGACACCCAGTAGTGAGGCAATTCAAGAAAAATATGAAATCATCAAAGCAATAGCTCTCCAACAGTTGAGTAGGACCCCATGGGGTCTCAGACACTTTGCATGAGATCACCAATAACAAGCATAGACCCTTTCATTCTAAGACTAGCATTGTTGAAAATCAATATAACACAAGTTACAGTATTTCCACTTTGACACAGCTGATGAATCTATTTACCTGTGGTTCTGCTTTTAATATGTTTATTATTTCTGGATATTTATACAATCAATCATATATAGTATATGTATAATATATTCTAATTTGTTTTGGGGCCCAATTTGGGGATCATTATCACAAGATAGAAAAGTTACCAGTAAGAGGAGGCAGCTCACTCCATCTCACTCCAACTGTTTGTCTTGCTCAGAAAGGGTCATCCAGCCAGAACACAAGAACAGTTATAAAAAAGCCTGTGTAGCCTATTTGAAAGTTAGTGACCTATTGAAAAAAAGCTGGGGCACCCTCAACAACTGTGAAAGAGGTGAGAAACATAATCAACTGAACCAAAATCTGAACCACAATTTAAGGACCAAATTAAAGGGGACTGATTTCCTATTGGTGACATTTACTGTATACATGTACTATACCTACTGTATAATATTCTTCAAGAATACTTTATGATTTAACAAATTTTATACAAATATAAAAGGCAAGGTGTTCAAATCATACAAAGTTCATTCCCTTTTTCAGTCTATCTTTTCACAGTTAATAACTCTTATTTGAATAAGTACAGTACCTAGTACTTAATTAAGTGGCATGCTAGTAATAACCTATCAAGAGCCACCAAAGGGTAAATAAAACACAAGTAATTTACTGCAAAGCTCAACCTTAGACTGGGATTCAGAGCAGCATTCTTGTAATAACCAAATGACAAAACAAAAACATCATCTAAAGACTGTTCACTTTACCCTTTGTTCCTCAAGGTTTTGGATTTCTGGATTGTGTTCAGACATCTCATTGCCAGTGCCATCCTGTACTGTGACTGAGCTCAGTTCTTCACCCAGTCTTTCCATTGCGTTACAGTGCAGCTCCAAGACAACTGACCAGTAGAACAGAGAGCAAGACAAAATAACAATGATACATGACACACTTCTCTCTTTGGAAACTAAAGCTAAAAATGCAAATATCTTTTGTACAGTATGTCAGTTTTAAACTCAAGCCAACCCTCAATTCTATAGCCTGGACAAACCCCAATTAAAGATGCAGATGATATATGATTTGAATTGGTGAACGTTTAGTGCTATTAATCAACTGGCTAGGGAAAAATGACAACCTATCTGTAAGGACAGGGCTACCAGAACCCCTCACCTTTCAAAGACAGATCACCCAGGGAGCAGCTGCAAGGCCAAAGTAGGCCAAAATTTGTCATAACGTAGTGACAAAGTTGAATTTGTGTGTGTTATTTGTCAAATGAGGTTAATTTTATATAGAGTTAGGACTTGGTGAGGACTAAGTGAAGGTGAAATATGTCTAAATGTGTTAAACCATAAAGTTTTAAGGGGGTGTTCTTACTTTTTTGACCTCCTCTCAAACCAATAATCAATAATCACTGCCATTATCATCCATTAAACTGTATTTGTATTTGCTTAACATAAAGTAATGTGCAGTTCTGGGTTAAGACATTAACCAATTTGCTTTAAAATTCTAGATAAATCACTCACTGAAGTCACATTAATGATTTTCTATGCAGTTTTTCTGTAGTGTATGTGTTTGAATTTCATTATTAGGTAAACTGAATGAAAAAGTACATTACAATAAATGTACAACATCTGTTCTTTTTTAAATGAGATGCATTACAAATTTAATAATCACCTTTTAAAATTATTAAATAAAACGCTGCTGTTAGTATTGAAGGCATTATTAAAACTAAATTAATTGTAGCAGTTATTATATAATTAATTAACAGAATAAACTGCATAGGGTAAAGTCGGGCATTGTGGAACATCTTAGCTTTGTTAGGATTTTCAATTTTAATATGAGCCTTTCATTGAAAACCTCACTGATTTCTGCTATAGAATGCACTTAATACAGAGAAATAGTTGTCATTGGTGATATGACCTCAGACTACAGTAGGTGTGGATGGATTTACAAGGAAGTCTGAATTGCTTGACTACAATTCAATTAAAGTGACTTAAAAAATCTTACTGTATAATGTTAAGGCTTTAGTTCCAAATGTATAAAGCTATGTGTCTCATAGTTATAATGTTATATAGTTATGCTTAAATAATCAAGCACTGTTCAAAATGAAATAATTTCAAGATAGCTTTTTTACATAAAAATTACATATTTGTAGTGTCTAATACTGTATGTACCTCATCTACACACATTATGGAAGAAAGGTATAGCAAACACAAAAAATGTCCCCATTTAATTATAAATTTACATCAAATGATTTAATAATCATTTATCAATCTGAGATTTTATTTGTATTTTATTTCCACACTTCATGATTAACAGAAAATATCAGTATAAACCATAACTTTATGCCATACTTTACCCATCATTTGACAGCTGGGAAAACTAAAAGCAAACAAACACCTAAAATGAAAATAAATCCGTAACGTTTTTCATTTTGTGATTATTCTGACAGTATTTTAATTAAATGATGCTCCACTTTATCTGGTGAATTAAATTATCTGAATGTTGAGACCACTACTTTTTTAAAACGCCTGCCTGTCGTCTCTTACTTCCTACACGACCAACTGTATACAGTACAGTACGTTTACACTGACATGCAGCAGTGCATTATATTTTAATCATTGACACAGTACGGAAGGACTGGAAAGCGTTTATCACACGTACAGTATACCTTATCTGAACTCACCAAAGCAATTTTTGCGTTCAATGGTATCTTTTCTACTTATCTAAAACAACATAGCGTTTAGATGTAATATTTATTCAGCTACAGTCGGATAAATGCAAACATTTTTGGAATTGTAAAAAAATTACTTTTCTCACACAAAAGAGATGTGAACAGAATCACTGTAACAGTATGACTTACGTTCGAGTACTTTAAATCAGTATTTGTTCTCTACTAAACTCCCAGACTGCGTTCAACGTGCGGAGACTCATGAAGTGCAGGAAATGTGAACATCAGATATCAATGCTTCCAAAAGATCAAGAGATGAAACCTGCTATGATCCACAAAGTCTAACACTGTACTTTCACTAAAGGAAAAATGACAAATATTACCTTCAGTACCCCCCAAGTTTTCGTACGAGGCACCTCCTAAGCAAACCCAGCAAGGCCCATTGCGATGTTTAGTAAGGTACAGGACGGTGTGCGCTCAGTCGGGCGAGAGGAGGGATCAACCGCCTTCCAGCTCCTTCTCCCAGGAGCGCCTCCCAGTCCCAGGACACGTCCTGCGGTGAGGATCATTACTCGGCTGTCTGCTTGGTTAGTGGGATGACTCATATGACTGACTACATGAGTGCAGTGTGGACATAGTGGCGCTGGAAACGTCCTTAGCTGGACATTGGTGATAATATTACAAATAATATGTAACATGTTTCAATTATGTCTTAATGGCTAATACAATACTTTTTATTAGAATGTAGAAAACGTTACTGAAAAGATACTCCAACTTAATGAAGAATGTCAATACGTAAGATGCTTGAAAATAATATTTTGTATTGCATAGTCGGTTAGGTTTTAGGAACTGATTATCTGTTTTGTGTATACAGTATCTATTCTAATGTATAACAACAAATGTTGCTTCTTAATCTATCTGTTTCCCAACATTTAACTTTAAAGGTTTAGGTAATAGCTATATTAACAGGTGGAAGATTTAGTTTTACTGAAATTAACTGATCAAATCTGATTACTACCTCATGTCAGACGTGCTAAAACGAAACGTGATGCAAAATGTGTTAGATGCTATTTCTTTGATGGCGGCACTAATATTACGGTAGAATTGTTTCTATGTATACAGTATATCCCATGACGAACTATTTAAAATAATTGACTTAAAATACATTGAAAAGTTAGGTGCATTTTTAACCTGAAGAAGAAGAAACAAAACGGGAAAAAGACATAACAGATGGGTAGCTTGTTCCATACTCCTACAACCTATTGTGCAAATAAATGCCTTACTTCTAAACACAGGGCATTTCTTTACACAAAATGTGGGAATATGGAAATAGTCACTAACTTTGTTTTTGAGGCTGATTCCGTGATTTGTTTTAAAAAACCATAAAACGATTAAGTATTAACAATTAAAAGTGCTCTCATTTATAACCTTTTTTATATTCTAATTTTCTTGCAAAAAAGCATACGTGAGTGTGTGAACATTCAAGACAATCAGTACTAGGGAAATACTGTCGTCTGGTCCAACGTACCAGAATGATGCACTTTTTATTTGTTTTATGTCAGAAATGTCCATTAGAAGGCGCTGAATTACTATGAATTCGCAGGTCTCGCGTTTGAGTGGTCGCAAGCAAGCGAATATTGTAATGTAAATCACATGCTATATATACCCCAGCATAACTGTGGTTTTGCTAAAAATTAAACTGTTAATTGTGTCAAAGATAGAAATGTACTACTTTACTGACACAGAGAATAATAAGTCACGTGTTTTAATATATTTTAATACAGGGTGGAACTTTCCACAAACAAAATTTGGGTTTGGTATAATGCAAGATTTAAATGAATTTGATTGTATCCTATTTTATTTTTTATTGTTCATAACGAAAAATTTTAAATTTTCACGGAACAGAATACACACAGTGACAGAGAAGATTGTTTCAGAGGGTACTCATAATAATTTGAAAAGATGCTTCATGCAGTTCTAGACACAGCGATGAATAAGAGAGAAAACTATAATAGACATGCAATGGTAATATGCCACCCTAACTAGGCCACTGTAGGGTGCAACTCATGGCACGGGGGCAATGCCTATTTATAAACTCTCCTGGGGTTGGTCAAGAGGATGGAGTCTTTTTTTTTCATCTGAGCTTTTTTTTCTTTTTTCTTTCTTTTCTCTTTTCCTTTTCTTCTCTACGATTCATCCAGAACCAAAGTCTCTGTTCCATGGGTCCTGGCCTGGCAACAGATGTACAACTTCTAGTATGAAAAGTTGGAGAATTTCACATTTCTGGGCAGTTAAATTTAAAAAAAAAGAATAAAACGTAAAAACTTTTATTTCTTCTTGTGTGTTCTGCATTTTTGTAAAGCTTTACAGATTTTTGGTTGGTTTCTTAGTTTTGAGTTACTGTGTGACAATATTACATTTGTCTCAAGTCATTAAATTACAACTGGATGATTTAATTGAAGTTTGTATTCTAATAGTAGCCTAATTTGCATTAGTGCTCTCACTTATGTGCGTATTTTATACAGCCTAGATTTACTAGGCTGTTTTAAAGACCCCTGGTCCCTGGTCACAAACAGCCATACTGTATATTACTTTTATTACATATTTTACTTTTGTTCTCTGTGAGTTCACTGAATCTCTGGCGCTGCCTTTTGTTTGTGAGGTTAGCTTCATAAGCAATAATTGACACACTGGGAATGGGTGAGATCATTCTCAATGGCAGAAAAAGGAAGGAAAGTTAGAGGAGGCACAGCAGCACAATGGTTAGCATTGCTGCCTTACAGTGCTGAGGCCCTGAGTTTAGTTCCCAGAGAGCTATCTGTATGGAGTTTGTATTTTCTCCCACAGTCCAATGATATTGCTGGGTTAATTAGCTTCGGGGAAAACAGTCCCTGGTGTGAGTCTGTGTGTGACCTGTGACCAGTACAAACGTCCCCCGAATTGGATAACATGGTTAGATAATGGGTGGAAGGAAAAATTATGAAAACTGAAAAACATTGACAAAGGTAAAGCACTTTTTAAACAGTATAATGAAAATGAAAATCAGCTCCTAGTATTTTTTTATTGTTTGATTTGAATATCTGACTTACAGTATGTGCTGCTTTTAATGACAATCCCAACCTTACCTGCTCTTTTTTCACAGCAAAAACTACAGCAATAGCAGCACCAATCAGAATCCTCTAACTAGGTAACCCAGAGCCCTACGCAGAAAAGAAAAAAAAGATAAACAGCAGATAAGTGTGGAAAGTTTCATCACTTACATTTCCTTTTGTTATTGAAATACACCTCAAAACTGGGTGAAAAAGACCAGGGGAGATTCAGAAGTGGCAGTCTATCACATCTCATCTTGCTCACAGCACTGTTCTGGACAGGCAGTCAAGTGCCTCCTTTTCTGTTTTCATTTGGGCTATAGCCAATGAAGAAAATGTAGCAATTCTGGAATAATAACATTGTAAGTGCTCCAAATCCACTCGTTTTATTTTGAAATGAAAAACAGTTATAAATAAGTATAAATGAAGACATTTTTATTAAGAAATTCGTGTCCTATTGCAGAAGTGTCTTAAGTGCAGCGGGCCTTCTGTAGGATTCTTCTAAAACAATTTCATATCCTAGAGACATTCAGTGCTTGCACTAATTGTAGTACAGACAGCTAGCACCAGGGACAAAACCATACAGAAATGAGACTTAAGAATTGGTTAGTTTTTTTTTTTAAATTACCTCTAAAGTGATAGTTCACTAGGGTCACTTACCACAATTTATTACACCTTATTAAACCACACCAATTGTTTCAACATGTCCTGCAACTCAATTTCTTTGGCAGAGGCCCAGAAAGCCAGACATGAGAATCAGGGTCCTGCAGGATTTATTGGTATCTTACATTCATCAACATCCAAAGGCCTGGGTAAGATAACATGTGGGACAATATCTGGACAAAGATATCTTGATATTTTGACAAGGACCAAAATAGAATTGCTCAGTTGGACTGGCAGGGCAAGGTTATTCACATTTTTTCTAAATCAATTTTTTCATTTGCACAGTCTTATGCAATGTTGTCGTAAAAAGACCCTGTACATTCACCTGTAAACACTGTTGCTTTGTGTAGTCAAATAGCAATGGGTAATCAAGTACAGATCAAGAAAGGTTAAGGACAAAACTGCATTTCAAACATAACTTCCTCTTCACTGAGAGGGCTTCTTTTTGTTAAAATGATGTTATGATGTTAAAACTTGATTCCCAGAATTATTTTGGGTGAAAGTTGCTACCTGCAGGAGCTCAATCTTAGACTTAGAAATATTCTTATGTATTTATGTCATTATAAATTCTGAATGTGTAATTCTTAATTTCATATAGTTTTGATAGTAATATTTAATAAACAAATGCATGATATACAACAAGAAAAACACAAGTTAGTTCGAGGTGTACTGTATGTATTGCTCTTCCTCCAGATTCCTTTAAATCAATATATTGTACAGTGCCTGTACAGCCCTTTTTCGATTTTTCACACTTAAGAATCTCAAACTCTGGAATTGTTCTTTTAGAATGGGAATTTTTATTTGTGAGTCACATTCATTTTCACAGATTTCACCCAAAAAAGAAAGATAATAGTAAACCATAAATTAGTTAAAAATAAAAACACTGAAATATCAACATTGAATAAATATTCATCCCCCTTGGTTAATACTTAGTTGCCCATTCCTCCTTGCAAAATTGCTCAAGCTGAGAGGGGTTAGGTGGAGAGCAGCACAGTAGGTGGAGAGCACCGACAGCCTCATGAGACCGCTGGTTGAAGGTCTTCCGTCATACATCAAAGACACCAACCATGCGCTCCAACTTTTTAATGATTTCCAATTTCAGGGCACCCAAATGCTACATTTTTACCATGGACATCACATCTCTTTACACCGTCATTCCGCATAATGACTGCCTTACAGCTCTCAAGCACACGCTGGACAAACGCACAGTGCTTGATCCACCCACCCACACCCTGGTACGCCTTGCAGAATTGGTTCTCACACTGAACGCATTCTCCTTCAATAATCGTTTTTACCAACAGGTGAGTGGAGTTGCCATGGGTACCAGAATGGGACCCAGCTATGCCAATATCTTTGTTGGCTGGGTAGAAGAACGCTTCTTCGCTTCCTACACTGGCTATGTCCCTGACCTCTATAAGCAATATATTGATGACTGCGTCGGTGCCGCCACATGCTCCAACGATCAACTTGAGTGCTTCTTGCACCATTTCACCAACTTCCACCCATCCCTCAAATATAGGGTTAACATACCTTCCACTACTCTTCGGTTTCTAGACATCAACTTCTCCATCAACTACCCCCAACTCTCCGCTTCGGTCTATTACAAACCCATGGATTCACACAGCTATCTCTTGTATAGCTCATTTCACCCCAAACATACTAAAAACTCTCTCCCTTTTTCACAGTTCCTTCGGCTA